ATAACGCTGGATGGTTCACAATCACAGCTAATTAGCTTCCTCCATTGGACCGCTCAAACGTCAGCACTGTCAAGACATGAAGAGTTGCACTGATAGCGGCAGTTCTAGCGTCAAGAATTGATTTCACTGCTTAATTTAGCTTAGTTTTAAATGCTGCTGTGACTGGGCCTTTAGGCTCTTTACATTCAGGACATTCATCCATTGGATTTCACTTGCTTGCAATGGACAGACACTTCCAAAACTGAAAGTGTGCAACAGGATACGAAGCAAACTAAGTCCCGCTTCTTCATTTCTTGACACAGTGTTTCTCTCACAGGATCAAAACATCTTTTATTCTCAACTCTGCCTCTGCTTACTCTCAGAACTTGTTCTGTGCTTATAAATCTGTCCTTGTGCTTACTCAAATCTTGACTTGACTGATTTCCATTTAAATTTGATTTATGCCCTTTCAATTGTTTTGCTATTAATGAACTTCCACACATAAGCAGTAATGTTTAGCCTCAGAGCCATTTTAATTTCTTTTGTCTGCTATTATTTCTCCTTGTTTCCCTCCATTCCGAATCACAAAGTCTTTTTGCTAAGCTACTACTAAATAAGATTTGTTCCTAAAATGACTTGCATTCACACACAAACATACATATGCACACACCAAATAGCAAAAAGCTGAATAATGAATAAGGTGGAGGGAAAAGCCATTTATTGAGGAATGATGCTGGATGAAAATATACCAACTAACATCTTTTTTTCCGCTCCCATCCTGTCATTTAGTCTCTGTCATTTATCTTTCTGTTATCTATAGCCTCTTTACCTCACCTTTCCTCTCTTTATGTGTGCCATTTAGGAGCATTTGCTGGCTCTGATGGACACTGATAAGACACTACTCTCCTCTTTACAACACACTACTCTCTTCCCTCCATTATTCTGCTAACTGTAAATCACAGCACTCTGCGCGACATTGCTCTCCGTCCGTCTGTTTCTCTTCCTCTCGCTTCCTTTACCATTTTATCTTCACTCCCGTCTGCTTTTCATTCCCATGCCTCTGATCCCTCCAGATGTTTCCACCCCTTCCACACTCTCTCCTTCATTGGTCTACACCTGCTCTATCGCTCACCTCAAGCCCTCCCCTCTCGTCTGCTCGCTCACAAATAGCCGTGAGGTCATGAACGTCTTAGATCTTCACCGTGCTTCATGGATCACTGCAAGTAAACCTGGCTGGGAGAGCAGCTGCTGCCCAATTTGCTCATTTAAGACAATCAATGAAAATAACACTGAGGGACTACAATACGTCCAAGAGATTAAGCAGACACACAAACACAAAGGCACACAGACACACACACACGCACACACACATGCTCCAGTCCTGCTAATTGTTGGCTATTAGTCTGCAAGTCTGGGATTGCATGTCTTATTAAATACAGAATTTCAAATGAGCTTCGTTAAATAAGAAAGTACTCCCCTTTTAATGAAGCTAATTTATATGGAAATTACACATAATACTGACGATTCAGTGAGAGATTTATCCTCATTGGATGAAGGGGAGGAATTAAAGAAAAAAAAAGAGGGGTATAGTGATTTTTTCCCCCCCTTTGCCTTAGCAAGGTCCCTGCTGTTGGACTCTTTCTGCAAGTTTGCTTTTGAAGCACACCCTCAACGGGTTCAGGCCATGTATGTTTGGGTTGTGGATACAGCCATCAGTGTGTGTGTGTGTGATGGAGAGCGAGTGTGTGAACTCCTGTCCTTGTGCTGACCCTGCAGAGCTCCAGCCTGCCTCCCTGGTTCCCACTGATCCATCATGCTGTCTGATTGCCCAGAGAAAACCCATTACTCTGAAACAACACAACACATTAGCAGTGAGCTGCAGGTGTCTCTTCTCTATGTTGTGCTCATTCCTCACCATCCGTGGATGCAGATGTCATGTTTACAGTGCCCCGCCAGTCAAATTGCTCAACACTGGAGCTGAGGCGGAGGTCTCCCACCTGAAATATACTCTCATATTTGGATAAACCCATCAATTGCTTCATTTTGTTGGTCGACTGCACATTAAAGTCTGTTTAAGAGAGTTGAGCTGCATACTGTGTGATGAGACAATGTTTCTATCTTTCTCACTCTGACTAGTGATTTATTAATGCAGGTCTGTATGCAGCTATGCCCCTGCAGACTGCTTCTGTCCCTCAGGCAAAAAGCTCACAGTTGCCCCCTGGTGGTAATTAAGCAAGAAGTAAGATTTGGCCAATATTTCCTCAAGTCTCCTGACACCATCCCCAGAAGGTATAAATGATATATATATATTTTTTAAATCAAGTAGGTCTCCAAATATATCCTTAAGTTAAATGGGTGGAAGGATGTAATGAGCAGGAGGCAAGAGAGGGAAGCCTAAAAAAACCCAAGATTTTGTGTGTATCCCTGCTTTATGAATGGCATTTTCACTGCTGGTTCACCCCAGTGGGTAATTATCTGCATCCCTCATAATTTACTGTGCACTTTGAAACTGCAATGTTTTTTTTTGTGGGGTTTCCATGGAGACAGTTCTACTACTCAACCTGTGGGCAGCATGTAAAAACAAAGTATATATACTGTACATGTTCAACAAGTTTGTGTAATGAATAAAAGCTTTATTCAAACATGAAATAAAAAAATAGTGACAAAGAAAAATGATCAGAACTCACAAGAATTTGCATAAATATATACTATCAGAGCAGTTCAGAGACAACATATTTGAAAAGGAAATATATCGCAACATCTATAAACAAGCAGCAAAATAAAAACAAATCAAGGACAATGCAGAATTAATTAATAGAATACAATAAAGGTGTGTGTCTCTGCTGTGCGGGTCTTTTTTTTTTTTTTTTAAGGTGATCTCATGGTCAAATGCATTAATGACTGTTGCCACCTAGAGGTTGCTCATACAGTTGAATCATTGCAGCCTCTTTTTTTTTTAAGTTTTCAACAATTACAAAATGCATACAGGTTTTAAAATTGAGCAATGCCAATATGTAAAATTATTGAGCATCAATGCAGAAACAGCCCAAGTGAGCAGTGTTATGGTGCTCTGACATAATGCATATTATGCAAAAAAAAAAAAGTGCATTCCTGTGGGATTATACAGGCTATTGTGTCTCGAAGCGAGGGGACCGTGAACTGCAGAGCGGCTCGTGTTTCAGAGCCTAAACGTCTGCTGATTGTTGTACAGACATCTGATGAGCAAGAAAAGCTTACAGATGGTTTCACTCGGCAAAATGTAGTTTGTTGGTTCTACCTTCGGCCCTGTAATCACAAATACTGAGAAACACCTGCAGAACTGGAACAAATAAAACACTATACTGACCATTTGCTCCTCTGATTATATATTTAAACTGATGTGACAATGACTAGTGTCCGTATGATGGTGTGTATTTCACTATCATAAAACATGTAGTTGTGATAGCTGCAGTGTACGCCTGCAGTAGTGTTAACTGAGCACTGTTATACGATTGAGTTCACGTTGCTCTAATAAGGCCATGAAGTTAAATAAACCATTAGGCTAAGTAAATTTTTACTTTCATACCACAATGTATATCCACGCTAACAGTTCAGCAAGCTTCATTCTTATATAAAAAACAATTCATATCAATATGGATGCAAAACAAATATTCACACGTGTGTACTGAACAACAGTGAATTTCAACAGTTTCCTCTATAAAAATAGCTTAAAAATCTGACACATATTTTAGTACAGTGTAGGGTTAGGTCAGTTTTTTTTTTTCTCTTTTACATCTGAGACAGTTTAATAACAGGCTGGTACATAAGTCCTCTGCTCCTCCTTCCCTCCTATGACACTGCCATACACAGACATAGGGCTTTAAAAGACCACCAAAGTCCCAATAAGGAGCGCTAAAGGGAGCAGAAAATGAATGGCATCTTCATCTCCTCACTGCTCTAAAAAGACTCCAAACTCCAACTGTCTGCCGACAGGTAGTACAGTCACGTCTGTACAGGGCTTCGCATGCACAGTGGTTTAGTAGTAGAGCAGGGCTTGGTCCATGAGAGCAAAGAGTATGGCCAACAGTACAATGCGTGTGCGCCATAGCAATGTCAGGATCATTGAAAAGGTGAAGCAGGAAGGACGAAACATGCCACATTTGGCAAACAAAAATCACAGAATCTCTCTCACACAGGAAAGGGTATCTGAGGGGCAGAGACATTGAACACATAAGCATTTAGTAACCTATAGATCATACACCTATCCACAGCTCAGTGTTTTACACACAGGTGCGTGTCGGGCACTGAGACGGGCCCCACCGAAGTGAACTAAAAGATAGAGTAAGTGAAATACAACAAACAGGGCAGGAGTCGAACAGATTGTCACATTTCATGCTCTGCGCGCAGGCAATATATTTTTTTTTTAACGAGACAAGCAATAAACATCGTTGTCATCACCATCATCATCATCATTCACACCCAGTTAATTCACATACACAGTAGGCGAAACAATACTGTACACGCACGCACGCACACACGCACACACACACGCACACACGTAAGTGCACAGGCATACAAACACATCCCCGAACAAACACACCTCCCATTGGGATGTAACTTAAAGTGTAAGTGGTGAATAGCTTATCCCCTGATACCCAAGAATAAAAAAAAAAGCGAAAACAGAGAAGGCAAACAGAACATAACACAACAAAAACGAGTGATCCGAACCACTGACATTATAAGGACACTTGAAGAAAGATTGTATTGTTTGGATTAACTAAACGCAGTTGCTATGTACCGCTGTGTTTGCTGGTTATAGCTTTTCAAAGCATATAAAATAATAACTATTTGTAGTATATGGCAAAAATAAATAACTCAAACTTCTTGCAGCAGTTGTAAAAAGGCCACTGAATGCTTGTGTGTTTGTGTATGTGTATATATGTATATATGTATATATATGTGTATATGTATATATACTTGTTGTGTGTGTGTGTGTGTGTGTGGTGTGTGTGTGTGTGTTGTGTGTAGTTGTGTGTGTGTGTGTGTGTTGTGAGAGAGAGAGAGAGAGGAGAGAGCAGGAAGAGAGATGCAAACTCAACAGCACAGGTAGGAACTAGCCATAAACTCTTTAGCCTTAAACCATCATGCATTGATATTACCATATAAAAGACTGAATCGCAGCCTCAAACAGTTTCTTGCTCAAGTTTCCGATCATGCCATTATAAAAAGATTTAACTGTATGCATACAGTACAGCATTACAGGTTACAGTACAGCTTCCTCTTGGTAAGTCACCAAACCTGGATGAGCCCCTGTGACAGGGTGAAGCCGATTACCAGGCTAGTGATAAAAGCAAACAGAAATACAAAAAGTGCCTCAATCCTGTAACATGTTGGATTTCAAAGGCAGAGGCTGTCAAATAAATGGCAGTAAATGATCAAGAAGTTAAGCACAAGCTTCAGTTTCCTGGCTGCAGCCATGCCAAATACCTAAATAGCACAAATATTTCTCTGGAGCAATTAATTGATGATCTTTTCCTGACAACAGCAGAATATAGGAGTGCTGTCTTGCAGAGCAAGAAAGGCTTTATTTTGGGACTTGAGCCAGTAGCCTGTTTTGTGAGTTTAACTGAATAAGGCCTAAACTTAAAATGACACACTATACAGTTAATCTGCACATTAACACTTTATGTTAAGTTGCCCTGAAGTCAGAATTTGCTTGTTAAGGTACTGTGATGTTAACTGATGACATGTCAAATTACTGAAGAGCAACCCAGTTTAAAGTACCCGGCGAGTGATCGTAGCTTTACACAAAAGGACACTTTGAAAAGCTAAATCTATCCTGTTAAAGCATCAAAACCAGCACTGTCCTGCCAACGTCCCATCTGCAGAGAACCCAAATTAATAATAAACACTTCTAGCAGACAGTAACACTGAACTTTTTCAAAAAGGAGTTTCAACCCCCAAAGGGACAGCTATGTAAGGTTTCTTAGTGCGCTTAAACATTTGTTTTGGAGAACAGTAGACAAAATTTGAAGTTGTGTAAAGACATAATGTCACATTGTCAGAACTCCCTCACTGAGTTTGTTTCCCCACTTCTTCCATCTCTATGAAGCTTTGGCTTTTCTTGCCCGTGGTGATGTTTTATCCTCAGACTTCACGACCCCATTGGAAGCACCTCCTGACAAAAACAGGTGAATAGAAACATTACTAATGAAAGCAATTTCTCTCACACTCACACGCACACACACACACACACACACACACAATTAGCAATACTGAAAAAGAATCTGAAACACTGAGAGTGTGAGACATAAACTAAAACACAGGGTTCCATTATGTCTGTCTGGGTGTCTGACTAGATGCTGAGGTTCTATATACTCACCCCTTGTGGGCTCCCTTTTGTGGGGCTTACTCTTTGGGCTGACCGTCTTCTTCTTTGAGGCCTGGTTCTGGCTGTGCTCCCTCCACTTTTTCAACTGAAAGTTAATGAATTTCCACATCATCCAGGCCTGTGTCAGGCAGATGGCTGCCAGACAAGTCATCCTGAGGGGTGGGGAGGAAACATTTTAAGAACTAAAAAGTTAAAGTGATTCAACTTGTGCAGAGGAAAGCAAAACTTTAGCTGTTTTGTTTGATGCCATGTGTAAATTAGCTAGGTAAGAGACAATAAGAACTCTTGCTGTTAATTGTCATTTGGACTTGCCTTATGGTCAGCACATTGAAGTTGCCTTCTGCTAGGGAGAAGCCCTGGTTTTCTGTACGGGGCAGTCCAAAGCCAAACGTCAGAACTGAGAGTGTGAGGGTGAGGAGGCGGGCAATGACAAAAAGCAGCGCCCACAGAGTAAAACTACAAAAAGAAAACAGACATTGCACCAGGTTGTTCAGATCAGATCAGGAACACGCTACTGCCCACCAAACACTAATTAGAAAAATGACAACTTGTCTGTTCGGTGAATGAAAGCAATACCCTTTCTGCTTGTTCTCGTCGCTGAAGTAGAAGAGGCGTGAAGCGTGGAACAGGAGCTCCACCAGGTAGTGAGGGACCAGCAACACCAGGCCCAGTCGGTGGAGACTAAACATGACGGGACATAGAGAGAGACGGATAGCAACACAGAATTAACTCAGGACGACTCAGGACGTAGAGAAAGAAAAAGTCCTCTTATTGAACATTGCTGTGATTCCATATCAGTTCCTCATAAAGTTTTTCCTGGTACTATCACATCCCCTTACAAACAAACCTCCCATTGCACCATGGGATGTAACTTATAGTGGTGAATAGCTTGTCTCCTGACACCCAAGGGGGAAAAAAAGTGAACAGAGAAAGCAAACAGAACAAGTGATACACACCGCTGACATTATAAGGACACTTGAAGAAAGATTGTATTGTTTGGATTAACTAAACGCAGTTGCTATGTACCACTGTGTTTGCTGGTTATAGCTTTTCAAAGCACTCTGTAGTATATGGCGAGAATAAATCAATAACTCTTGCAGCAGTTGTAAAAAGGCCACTGAACTCTTGTGTGTGTGAGATCTGCAAACTCAACAGCACAGGTAGGAACTAGCCATGAAGTGTTTAGCCCTAAATCATCATGCATTGACATTACCATTACACAGACTTAACTGAGGACGACTCAGTACGTGGGGAAAGAAAAATTCCCCCTCGTAAAATATGGCTTTCATATCAGTTTTTCTTAGAATGGTCAAAACACAGTATCAATTCCCTGTATAAAGGAAAAGTCAGCTGACCTCGGTTAGAGTTTAAAAGAGAACTGAAAAATGAGCGACTCCTCACAGTCCATCACTCACAGAAGAAAACAAAGCAATTACGAAATCATAAACTCAGAAATAATGTGTAGTAGCTTAGCATCAGGTACGCCGTCTGATTGTTAATTTGATAATTAATGTGAGGCACTAGTTTGAAACACTACTTATCAGGATACATTAGATCTTCATAAGCGATACACCTATAGTATACGCCTTCCTCACAGGATAAGCTGAGAATATAACATTTCACTTACTTTAAGACATAGGCACCAGTGATGTGGACAACATAAAGGCAAATGTAGTAGAGCTGGCGGGGGATGTCCTCCTGTAGAAATAAAACAAAGGGGCGGAGAGAGTTTGTATTAGTAACAGCAGCAGCGGCTCCATAGCAGCAACATCAGTTCTATCCAACGGACAAAACATTTCTTCACGCAGGCTCTGAGCATTTTTAACTTTGGACATGAAGTAGCAGAGTGTACTGTGGATTTTACTGTATAGAAAAACATTCTTGGGAAGAAATTGCTTTAAAGTCTGCAGCCTTTAAAAACCCAGCCAGGACTCATTAACCACGTTCTAGCTTTGAAGCTATGGTACATTTTCTGTGCACATTAAGCCTCGACATCCACTTGGCTCCAATTAACTCTACAAAAATGGTACGTATAAGTACAGAATACCAACAACATAGCTACACACACACATGCATTATCCAATAAATCTCAAATGCTTTTTTAATAGAGTAGAAAAAAGGGCCAATAATAAGTAAAGATGTCTCATTGCTTGTGTAGGTACAACAGAGGTGCAATTGTTTAATGTATTCCTAGCCCCTATGTGCACATCTGCACAGTCCTCAGCTGATTCCTCGTGGAAACACATGAAAATGCCAGGAGGGATCAGCATTGGTTAGAGGGATATTCACCGACTGTATATATAAACCATTGTACTCATCAAAGGTTACTGCACACACAAAAACTTCAACGATAACTAGTGAAATTAATTGCATGTTATTCTGATGTGTTACTGTTGACCCACTCAAACTCAAGTTTTTCACCACTTCTCATTTCTTAAGAGGTTATATGGTTAATGTGGTCGTAAAACTCAAATTTTTCTTTCACTTGAGCCAATGTACCACCTCACATGTGCAACGCAAGGCCATCGATTTACAGAATGAAGTTGCTGCTCTGCTGACTTACGGGAACATACAAAAACCTGCAGCATTTTACATCAGTGTACCTCATTTCAAAGAAATAAACAAAAATGACCCTCACCTTCCGTACTTTTTGAAAGTACAGCTCAGGAAGTGCATGGAACCAATAGGCAATTTGGCAAATGTAGAAGAACTTGACCTGAAAACTAGACAGAGGACAGGTTGTGCAGAGGTAAGAGCCCACGTGTTACTTGGGCATGGACAGAAGTTTCATACATATCAATATACAACAGCTCATGTTCTTCATGGCGGACTGTATTCTATTTAAAATACATGCACAAGTCAAACCAGTAAGAAAATGGGAAGGAACCTGATCTAGACTACAAGATCTCCCATTGATCTATAACACAGGATTTTAAACTGATAAAAGATAATAAGATGGATCCCAACAATTGTACCATATAATTTAAGAGAAGGACTAAAAAAATATTAAATCTCAAAAAACACTGAATGCAAATACTTCCCTAATTCTCATTACCAGTAATGATTAAATTGTAAAATATGACCTTATGATGTGTAGGAGTCTATAGATCTTTACTTACACCATGTGAGTGTGTGGGTAACCCTCCCATAAGAAAGTTGGATTTGTTGCAAAGTCCTCCTGTCAGAAAGAAAAGGAGACATACGCATAAGATAAAGCCTAATGCCGTCTGGGACAGTGTGTTTCTGTGACTCTCTGACCCTCGTACCGCTGTCAGGATGCTGCAGCCCCAGATGAAGGAGAATAGGTAGAACGCAGCGAGCTGTCCAGACTCATTGAACTTGCTGTGTTTGGTTTTTGACAGGTGCAACCTCCTGTTCATTTTCTGAAATCAAACAAAACATTACACAAGGTGAACAGATTAATATATTAAATGTTAATGCAGGGGGGATATTTAGTTCCTTCCTTTTTTAATTATACAAGCATGCATATGTTTTTACTCACATCTCATTAATAAAACTAAGATATCTGTAGATTAATTTGAATTATGGAGGAACGAGAGGTTGAAGGACCAGTGTGTAAGATTTTGGTGGCATCTAGCGGTGAAGTTGCAGATTGCAAGCAACTGAACACCACTCGCGTCGGTATTGGATGTGACCAGTGTTTGGTTTGTCCATTCTGGGCTACTACAGAAACAAAATGGCAGCCTCCAAAAGAGGACCCACTGCCCCTGTAGATGAAAACGTCTCATTCTAAGGTAACAAAAACACAATGATTCCTATATTAAGGTGATTTTACACTAATGAAAACACACCTATGAATATTCTATTCTATTTCTGCCAATAAATCCTCCTAAATGTTACACACTGGACCTTTAAGTACATAAGATTACCCGTCGCTGAGATGAAATTGTCACAGCTCTAACAAACAAGAGTAGCTGTGAACGTTTTCCTTCTTGCACATGTGTTTTAATCGTAGTCCTTTGACCTTGAAGGACAGGATTCACATTTTTCTAAGTCTGTCTTCAGTCTGGGCAGCTAAGGAAGTGGAGTAGGTAATCTATTAATCACAGGGTTGGTGGTTCGATCACCCACTCCACATTGTCAAAGTGTCCTTGAGCGAGACACTAAACCACACTGACGATTTTGTCCTCTATCTTTTAAACCGTAAGTGTTTTAGGAAGTTATGCCAGCCTGTTTGAATGTTCCCAAGGACACCAGACTATTGTTTTAAGACAGACATTAAAAGGTGGGATCCTATTCTTCAAGAGAGACAGCTTTCAGTTGAATGTAGTCCACAAAAAGGATTTTTATTTTTGGAATAAAAATATATAAAACTATTTTTCTAATGATAGCCCACTGGGAAATGACATCAAAGACAGAAGATGCCAGGAGAAACATAAGCACTGCTTCAGTCATTATGTGTTAGTGCACATAATTCAGCTGGAAGGATTGGACCTGATTACCTACGAATGGCTCTCCAAAAAGTATTCAAGGACCAGAGCAGAGCCGAACACACACAAGAGGTGTTATTTGATAAAAAAAACTAGACAAAAGACGACTGCAGTGAGCACTCAGGCTCCTGTGTCCGTCGAACCCAAAAGATCAAAATAATCAGTCACTTTGGTAAAAAACAACAAACAATGTGAGCCGATATTTGATGGCTGCTGAGTTTGGATATTGGATAAACTCACGTCGAGAATATATTCTTGTATCAAGGCATGAAGGATGACCGCGATAAGCAGGTAGAAAAACACAGTGGCCACATCTTTAGGACCGTACTGGTAGAGGTTCACCGGCTCACTCTTCTCATCTGCAGAAGAACAAGAAAACCTTCAAATCCTCTACAATTAAGGCAGAATACACAATCAATAAAACGTTGCAGATGCAGGAAAATGCAGTTAACTTAAGTCTTTTCTTTTTTTTTTAAATACTGAAATGATCACTGGCGGTATAAACTTCAGCTCACCAAGAACCTGTGTCACGTTGTACTGGACCGTGATGAACATGATGGCAAACTTTGCTGTGACCTGGAACACAAAGAAGAAGAAGAAGAAAAACAAACAGGATTAACTGAATGATTCATGAGTCAGAGGAAAAGGTTTGTCACTGACCGCTGACATATTTCACACAAAAAGCAGCCAAGCGTTGTCATAAAAAGTGAGTTTAATCCTCGTGGGTTGTCCCACATCAGTGAACCGTACTCTCTCTCTCGACAGGTGTAAACAGAGTGTCTTAATCTACGTTCAATCTTTTAGTATCAAACTGTACAACGACTGTGAAAGAAATCAGACTGCTGTGTCACTGCAGGATCCTGAATCCACTGAACTAAGGTCTAGGGATCTCCATGGGGGGGTTCTAGCAAAAATGAGTCCTATTTCAAGTTCACTACCACTGCCACAATGACTCTCATTGTGTCAGGATGAACGTGTATCATTGAGCAGCACTTTCTCCTTGCGTAAAGGCGTTAATCTTCCATTTTCCAAGCCACATCTACCACAGGTTTAGGTTGCTTTAAGGCAAAATCTTATCGTTTTTCAAAAGTATTTCGAGTCTGGCTGGCTGGGTGTTTGGGTGGGGACAGGTTAGTATCTTGTTTCATTCAGACGTGGCTTGATAACAAGCCAGCTCTGACGAACCACTGATCCAAAGGTGTAGCATGCAGACACTTTTAAGCCTCCCCTAACCTGCTGCTACCCAAGGCCAGATACATGAATTATTTTTTTTTTTTTTAAAGCTATACAGGCAACGGATTAGCCGACTGGTTTTTAAATAAAAATGACCTGTGTTAGCTGTGCCAGTGGGCCTCCTCGCCATCTTCTTTGGCAATCAGTGAGACACATGAGAAGGGAAGGAGAAAGACACTCTAGCGCCCTGCCCCTGGAGCTGCTGCTGTCATGTCAGCTAACGACAGCAGCTACCATCTCTCGACTAACAGCTCCACTCACACAGTACCTCGAACATCAGGCCGAGGAGGATAATCATGGCCAAGCACGAAACCATGTCGGCGTGATTCTGGATCACAAACTCGTGGCTCAGCACCGGTGGGCTCTTGTTCTTCTTGCGGAAACCCATGGCTCCCCGACACGGCTCTCTCTCTCTCTCCGTGTAGCTGGGTTGGAGGCTCCACACTCTCACACACACTCACACACAACTCACTCAACCACTCACTCACTCACACCACACTCACACACACACACTCCTCCACCACCACCACCTTTCCGATGCACGGCTGCTGTGTGCTGGCCTGCCCGTCTCAGCTGATGGGGGTCTGCTCTGCTCGGGGTCGGTCGGCGCAGTGAACCCGCTGCTGCTCGTGGCTTTTCAAAAACAGTCATGAAGATGCATCGCACCCAAAAAGAAAACAAAACACCCCAAACACTATGGCAACAACACCCACTTCTTATTTCTGTTTCACCCTGCCTGGTAAAAGTCAGATGACGGGGCCCTCCCACTTCAAACCCCCATTCATGAACCGCCCAGTGTCATTGACGTAGAAGGAGAACCCAGGCCCCACCGTGGGCGATCGGGCCCCCCTCCTCCGTGGAAGACCCGCCCTAATTGCCTCTGATTGGCTTAGCCTGACATTCTGATCCCGAATCGAACCAATAGCACGCCTCTTTCGTATACCCGACCAATCACAGCCAAGAAGGCTACGTGTACTAGCCAATCAGAGGCGGAGGAGGGCGGGTCGTGTTTTATTTTCTTCCCCGTGGTGCCTTCACGTACTCCTCGTTTTGCTGAGAAGAGAATATGTTTATATTATATGAAAATGTTTATATTATATTATATATTTTTTTCTCTATCCACTTTGCTGCTGTAATATTGGAATTTCCCCATTGTGGGACTATTAAAGGAATATCTTATCTTATCTTAAAAGGCTGTAGATGTGTATTAGTTTGAGTGATGCAACATTGTTTGCAGGCTTGGGGAGAAACAGATTAAATAGGGATGAATAAGGATACAAAAAAGATCAGATTACGGTTATATTTACTAAAAAAAGAGGATTATTTAGCAGGATTATCGTTTTAAAAGACATCGTTTCTTTAATAAGGGGACACGTAGATGTTAAAATTCTTTCTTTTTCCATTTTATTTTCCAAAGTCACATTGTTTTGTTGTCTTACAGAATACTACGAGATCAATACTTATTATTGATATTTCTTGTCATGAGACTGTTAACCATTAACCTGCTAAGCACAACAGTTTTTTTTATTTTTTGTTTTGTTGTTGTAACGTGTACAGTTATATTTATCTTTGTATATAGTGTATATATTTTTTATGTTCTAGATTTTTATTTTAATCTATTATATTATCTTGAACACAAAGTAATCAAGTTACATTACTTTAATGGGTTAGGGTACTGACTACATGTTTTAATTAGTAATTGTATCGAATTACATTTTAAAAGTAACCCTCCCAACCCTGATTATTTTGGGATATGTAATATTTCAGCACACCATGATCTGAAATGGTAGGTCTGTTTGGAAATGGTACTGTATATGAGCTGGATTCCCAACTGGGCAAGGAGGGTAATTGCTCCAGACCCCGGGGGCCTCAACAGCCCCAGGTTGATGGTAATTTGTTTAATTGTGGATTTATTAGAGAATTTACGCCACTAAAGTACAATATCATCTGAAGCAGGTCCTGCATTATTAGTCAATTTTATGAGTCTGGCATGTAGAGGGCCCCTGAGTCAAATCCTTGTTTTAAAGGTCCAGTGTGAAACATTTAGAGGGATCTATTGGCAGAAATTAAATACAATATTCATAGGTATGTTTTCATTAGTGTATTAATAACCTGGAAATAAGAACTGAGTTTTTGTGATGTTAGAATGAGCTGTTTTTTATGTACAGAGGGAGCAAGTCCTCTTCCACAGTCTGCATATTGAACCACCAAGTTTCTACAGTAGCCCAGAATGGACAAACCAAACAATGACTTGCATTTTTAAATAGGGTCCAAAAGTGTCTTTGTGGCGCCTTAAAATGTTTCTGACCATGAAAAATAGCAGGAATTAAAGTATTTCTAAAGCACTCTCATTTACTTTAACGTGAGAACATTTAGGATTAAAAATTACTTTTTTTCCAGGAACATCTGGAATCAACATTGTTGGGGTTGTAGGGTGATACAGTTACAATGTGGTATTTCTACTTCTACCTGAGTACAGGAACCTGCTTTCATCGCTGGTTGGGACAAAATCATGGGTAGTTGTTAATGAACGAGCCGACAGCTTTAAGTGAATTAAGGGAGCCTGTCTGAAAAGCTGATTTCTTTCTTTGTAGCGGCGTCTGTTTTATGTCTATAGTGAACATGCTAACATGGGAAGAGAGAGCTAAATAACACTTCAAAGTTAGTAAATGTTGGCGATGGAAAAAGTGGCATGGCCATTTACAAAGGGAATCCTTGACCTCTGACCTCAAGATATCTGAATGAAAATGGGTTTCCCCTTTGCAGACATGCCCACTTTATGCTAACACCATGCAGTTTTTTTTGCATCTGGTATAAAAGTGTTATTTTTGCCTAGTATATTTGTGAATTCTGGGGTCCATAAACTGTATTGGAATTGACTGGAAAGCTGACTCATACACTTCATGCCACCCCTGCATAAGTCAGTGCCCCACTTGTGCCCTCCCTGACAAAAAAAAAGTCTGGATACTCCCCATTTTACATTTAGAAAAAGAGACGTTGTAATTGCTTGTCAGTGGCTCCTGTTTAAGTCAATTATGATTTATATGGATTTTTTTTCCTGCTGGGGGGGCTCATTATGTCTTTACTGGGCAGGAGACCTCAAGACAGACAGCAAAGGGGATGACACAGGTCAGACTCGAACCTGTTGCGACTGCAGCAAGAACTCAGTCTTGATACCATTGACAGTATTTATTTATTTATTTATTTATTTATTTATTTATTAATTTATTAATTTATTTATTAGTATATGGGACGCCAGCTCCTGCAGGCGAGCAACCAGGGCCCTTATGGCTGACTTTAATGTGTCTCCTCTAACTTAACGGTGATTTACGGACAATTAACGAGGAAAAGCAACAGTCAGGTAACCATCGTTTACATGATACATTATTATTTTGACGCTTTTTTTGGTGACTCATTGCTGTCACCTAATTAACTTAGCTAATTAAGTTTTCTTTGAGGCTTTTAGTGGCGGTATTGTCCATCCAACGAAAGAGAGCATTTGTTAAAACACGCTTGCGAAAGTCATGCATAAGTCTTTTATGGCTTTAACCGGACATTTTAACACGATATTTCAACCAATATCGTTTTTATAACAATAATATAACACTTCTTGTTCTTTGACGCTAGAGGTCAGTATGAGCCAGAACCGGGATTTCAGGATCCCTCTCTCAGCTCAGCGGTACACACCAGCACAACGTGACGCAGATTCATATATGTGACAATAATGTTCAATATGAACCCATAAACGATGTATGCGCTAAATGTGCACCCCGATATTACAGCCCGGCTAGCTTCAGTCGGTAGAGCAATGAGACTCCTTGAATCTCAGGGTCGGGTTCGAGCCCCACGTTGGGCGGAGCTCTTTTCCCTCTCTCACTCATACAAGTACCGCCAATTCTCTACAATCGTATCGCGACTCACGCTTTTTAATTTATGTGGGAAAGAGGCAACAATAATTTCTTCAGCTATAGTTTCTTTTACTGTTTTATTCAGCTGCTTTTTTACAATATTTTGAACCCGCCGTTCGCCTCTGTGGAGGAGTCCAGTCCAGTCTAACATTATCTAACACTGTAAGAGAGCTGAGGTGTGCTGTAATGTAGACTACACTCTGCAGCAATAGGTAAGAGTTGGATTGCATTACATTAAACATTTTGTTTCTTATATTTGGACATCCCACTTACATCTATGGAGGAGTAAACACTGTTCAGTGTAGTCCAGGATCACTATGAGTTACTGCATTACATTTTATACCAGAGTTGAACATTTGATTCAGTCTCAACAAAATAAGAACATTATAAGTGTCCCCAAGATGGTATTCATGGCAGGATTATTATATATCCTATGTATATATTTGATTACATTATGTCTTTTCTATTGCTATCGAATGTCAAAAGGACAACAAAAACCAGTGCTTCATCCAGCTGTGTTGAATTATTAATGATCACTGTTACAGCACAGACGTCGAACAGGAAACCCTATGCACACTTTATACAAAGCTCCCCCAGTGTTTTTGAAATCACCTCTCAATTTTAGTATTCCTTTACACAGAAGAGGAGATGTGGGATATAAATATTACATTTTGTTTTTTATTATATCTGCTACATTGTGCAATATATGAGCTGATTGGTCAACACCCAACAGTCCATAAGGTTATTAGAGTATAACACGCATAGGTTCCTCATAACTAGTCTTCTTCCCTTTCCTTTCCAACACACCATAAACGTGTTTTGACTATCCATTTTCTCATTTTACCTGCCTTTTTCTGTCTTTTATTTTTTAACAGACTGAATTGCCAAAATAGGTGAAGAGCTACACAGCCTCTCCTTTCTCTGGAAACAGCCAAGAGGGAGGGAGGAGTTTAAACAAAGGCCCTCTCCACATAAAAAAAAATGGAGGCTTGTACAGAGAAGCCATGGTGTCCTGCTCCTCACACTCTACTTGCTGCCATTTCTACTTCTAAAGCCTTCAAATAAGACAACTACCGCCAGATTCTACCCTTGGAAGCTTAGAAACATTACATGGGGTTTGTATGTCAAAAATACTCATATTAATTGTGTTATTTTGTGGTTTTAGGCCTAGCTCTCTGCTTATTTTTCTTCCCCTGTCTCTGACACTCACAGTGCTGCCCCTGCCTGCACTGAACAAAGATAATTACTCAGGAAACATTTCGGCCAATCAGACGCGGCCTTGTATCCTGCCTGTGAGGAGAGCGACCAGTCAGGATCTGGCTAACATCACTGGGGCCTGATCGCCTTGCCTGAAGAGCGGAGCCTTCCCCCGGCTGAGGGCTGAGAGTGTCCTCCATGTTTTATAAGTGTTGACATAACAGTGTATCAGGCAGCCATGCATCCACAGAGGTAAGCTCTGTCTTTTTTATCTCAACTCTCTGATAACGACATGGCTTCCTTCTTGTTGTTGTGGCGACTGTTGGTTTTCTCATGATGAACGTGCACACCTTAAAATCAGTTTAGTGTTCAAGGAGGAGGAGGAGGAGGAGCTGGGGTGGATTGGAGGCCTCGGCAGGCCTCTCTGCTCCACAGCGCTGAGGGTGGGGGGTTGGGTAACGACTCTCACCCTTGCTCTCTCTCTGTGTCTCAGGGTCACATGGGTGCCCCAGACAACCAGGCTTCCATACAGGAGGCAGAGTGGACCATGGCAAATCCTTTTCCTTTTTTTTATAATGCAAAAGAGAGTTAGATTCAGAAATGGCACCCACATCTCCTCTCTGTTGTAGCAGTCTTGTGTTGTAGCCTGGCAGAGAAAGAATGGGGGATGGGCAATTGATGATGATGAGGAGGAGGAGGAGGAGAGGGGGGTATTATGTACCCTTTGTAAGTGGATTGGCTCTGTGCTGTTTTCTTGTGTGTCATGCCAGGCCGGGGAATAGATGTGGGGGGCAACAGATGTGCTTGTTAGGAGGACACGTAGAGCAGGGAATGACTTAAAACTGTTTTTCAGTCTAATATTTTTTTTTATACATGTACGTGTGAAATAAACCAGAAACTGAAAACTGTACGGGTTGGCACAGAAAACTGTACCAAAGATGGAGTCTGTACACTACATACTGGTCAGAAGATGAGCCCACATGAAACAAACCTTCTGACGGAGGGCAAAATACTCCGCTAGTTCTTCCAGTCTAATCTTTTAGAAACAGTATGTTGAGACACAGGTTACCTTTGCTTACAGCCATAGGCCCAGAGTTTACTGCCCGGGGCTTCTTTACCTCCACAGCACTATTGTGAAACTGCTTCCTCCACTCTAGACAAACAGTGGCCATTTTGTGTTTTAGAGAGCTCTTCTCTTCTAGTCTTCTCTTCACAGATCAGATCAGACAGCAACACAGAGAAACACCATGAGACGCTACATGTTTTTACATGTGTGTACATATACATATACACATAGACACACAGACATTTGCATGCATATATGAGATAATTTAACTGCTTGTTTGCTTTGTTTTTCTCTTTTCCTATACAGGCTTTTCCTGTTTTTAAACACAAAACAGAAATGTCATTCATACATACAGATGCCAATTTTAAAAGGCAGATTTTCTATCACAATATTTGATAAGAAATCTATACAAAGACAAGGTGTGTGAGGAAACTCTTAATTGTTTGTTGCCATTTTATATTTCTCAGAGCACAGACTGTACATTGTGTTACATCATGTATCCCCGTTTTAGCAGTCTCATCTGCGTAGGGGGGGAAACAAAGAATGTTTTCTTTCTCTTGTGGCTTGTTACAAAGCATGTTTCCTCTGCACAAAGATAGTAATGTTACAATCAGTGTTTCCGTTTAGGCTACGACTAATATGCTCTCTGTCAAATCAAAACCAAAGACTAAATTTTACCAATGAACAGTAATGAGTGACTCCACCGTGCAAGAGCGAGCCTGTAATATAAACGCTACATTGAGAGATAGAAATGTCAGCAATGTGTAACGTCACGGTGATGGGGGGGCAAATCGTCTGGGCCTCTTTTCTAAGGCAACGTAGCCTACAAACAGGACGGCAGAGGTTGAAAAAGGCAGAACCGTTGAGTTATGCATCACAGCCACAAATATAATCTCCCAAAAGGCCTTTTTTCAAATCCCCCCTGGTTTATACTGACATAATCAAGAAGGGCAAGCTAAACCGAAAGAATATAAACCGTCTAATGCAGGGGGAAATCTCTGCATTGCAGCAAAAATGCTTTTTAAGAGGAAGAGGGGAGCCTGCACACTGTGATCCGTGTGGCATAGCACAGCCGACCAATAATGTTCCACCCTGTTGGCCCTCCAGCCAATTGCAGCTGCAGTTGAGGTTAAAGATTGACAATCAGAGGGAGAGCAGCAGGGAGAGCAAGGGCCTTCTGGAAAATTCCACAGCCATCTTTGATTCACCCTTTACAGCCTTATAAAATCCAGGTCAAATCTTTCTTTTATAAAGGATAATTCTGTGCACTAGTAGTGTTTGTTAGGTGTTGGGACGTTGTTTGAACATTGTAAATGAGTCATGCTAAAGCGGGCATATTTATGTTGTTAAAATCATTATTTTATGAAATGTAGACTAGGATTTTATACCTTCTGCTTTTAAATGATTGTTGTTGTTTGTGGATTTTTCAGGAAAAGCAAAAGCTAATGGGATGGATTTCTTAATTTGTTTGCATGTGGTTGTTGTGAAAAGCTAAATGTATCTTGTCATTTCGCAAAACCTAATAATCTCTCTGGGGTTTTGTGTAGCAGGCTGAGTAGGATGTTTTTTAGTCAATGGTATTAATACCAAGTGTTTTTCAATGCCTGTTCCAGTGCAAATAGATACAGTATAATGTTTGCATTGGCTTTCCTGGAGTGCCATACAGAAAGGCTGTTTATTCACATATTTGTTGATGTGTTAAAAAAAAAACCCCAGTGTATTCTTTAAGGTATAGACAATTGCTTTGCCAGGATCTGAGCATAGCTGCACAGTGTTGGTCTCAAAATGAAGTCTAATTATTCTATGACAGCAGTATTCAGAGGGAAGGAGGGAAGCCAAGATCGAAGACATAAAAAAAAAAAGAAACAGATGAGTGCTTCTCACTTTGCTGGATTTTCTCGTGTCTCCCTCTCTCTGTTTCTCCTCTGTGATCGGCCGTGAAGGTTCGTCTTGACATGGCTGTGTTTTTTTTCTTTTAAATGTTGGTCTGTAATCTCCACAGATCTCTCTGGTCCTCCTGCATGGATGTGCCAGTGCCTGAGTCTGAGCCTCGGAGTGGGGGATGGGGGAGAGGGG